ATGTGAAAGCAGAATAGGACACAGTTGCGAGAACAGTTCTGATATGGAATCAAAACTGCCTCTTGTTCATGAAAATCCTCACAAAAACTGAAACCAAGGAAACAGTGAAAGGGAAAAATCACCCATATATGGCAGTTTTGACAAGGGGCTCATCAATAGCCCAGTCTTTCCAAGACACATCATTATCTATCTGATCTGCCAAATCTGATACTTAACAACATTGTCTTCAGAACGGTTGACATACCCTCAAAAAGTCTATCTTGTAAATCACAGAGAAGGATGACAGGTTTCACAGATCTCGTCAGTGATAAAATGAAGGGAGGCTTCCTTCCAGGTGCTGGGACCAGAAAAAAATGGAAACAAGGTCTTTGCAAATAGGGAAGAGAGGGCAAGGGAAGGGGGAAAAAAATAAGAACCAAGATACTCATGTAATGGTACAAGATCCCAATGATGAATGCAACTGTATTTTATACCTAAAATGTACCAATAAACTTAATGGGGAAAAAAAAAAAGAAGGGAGGCATACAGGGGCAGATACTAGGATTCCTGCTGGCAAAATGGACAGAGTACTACATACATTTCAAGGGGAAGGATGATTTCTATTTTCTTGAGACCTAGTAAGAAGCAACTAACTTCACCTGTTTATCTCTGCTCCTAACTAAATTGAGTTTTTGAAATATAAACACAAATGATTAAAGAGATGGCATGATTTCGGGGTATAAAAAAAGTGGTAAGAGAAGCTAGTGGTGGTGGTGGGGTCAGTGGTACAGTGCTTACCTCAGGCATATGTGAGGTCCTGGGTTTAATCCTTGGTACTGGACGAGAAACTAAATAGGTGGTAGGAAAGGTCAAATCATGTCAACAGACTAGGCAAGGTGAAGCTTTTTTCTCCTACCACAAATTAACAGAAATAACAACAACAAACAACTTTTAAAAAAGAAAAGGAATCAGCAGGGATTTAGCTCAGCAGTCCTGCTGCCTGCTTTGCAAGGACAAGGTCCCAAGTTTGATCCCCGATACAAAAAAAAAGAAAAAGAATCCACGACTTTACTATAAAGTATCTTCCATGAACCAGAAAATATAAGGATTCCCTGAAAGAAAGAAAACAACTGAGAGCAGATAGATGGAGGGAAATCATGGTGGATAGATGCAGGGAAACACTCAAGGAGAGAATTTTCTAAAGTGAAGACAGGGCCCTTCTAAGCTTAGAGGAAGTGGGTACCTGGAGCTGGAAATGCCAAGGTTGATTAACCTGCTGGGTCCTGGGGAAAAACAGGCTGGCCAACCCTTCAACCCTCCAACCCTCCTCACTAGCCATGGCCTAGCCAGAAACAGGTCATTCCTTGCCCACTGATATGAGTGGTGAGTGTGCCCAAGGCAAGCCAGGGAATGTTTACATCCAGAGAGTGACCTGCCCATCCTCACGATGGCTCTTTAAATGAGTTTAAAACTTTGCAAGAGTAACTAATACCCTCAGAAGGGCAATACACTTATATAAAATAAATTGAGATCTTGGAAATTTAAACTGCGATCACTGAAATTAGAAACTCAACTGATGGGCCAAACACTGAATAGATACAGCTGAAGAGCAACTCAGGGAGCTGGACGATCCATTTAATTTTTCCAGAATGTAGCATGAAAGAGAATAGCTAAGAAACATAAGGAGAGGACAGAAACAAAAGGGAAGTGATCTCTTGAATAAAGCCCCCCCCCCGTAAAAAAAAGAATACATATGGTAAGCAAGGAAAAACAGAAGAAAATTTCCCGAGAATTAAAGATGACTCTTAACAGGATTAAGAGATGAATATCCATTTCTCCACATAGTGTTGTGAGATTTCAAATACCTAGGATGATGATAAATACCTTAAAAAGTAAATAAATAAAAAAAGGAGGAAGGAGATCTTAGTTGAAACCCTAACAAAAGCAAAGCATCTGGATAGTAATTTCACTCAGTAGCAGAGGAGTACTGATGACTCCCTTCCTTTCCACTTGACCTCTGAATCATTTCAGGTGACATTACAATCAGTATGTAAGACACCCAGGCCATGCACCTCTATTCCACTGCTGTTCACCTCCACCCATTCCCGTGACCTCGGTAAACACATTTGTGTAGATTACTCCCTGGACTGCAGTAAGATCTGGAAGTGTCACACTATAATCTCTTCTGCCTGCAAATCCCACACCTACCACCTTCCAATTCAACAGGATTTTTAATCTCCTTTGATTTGCAGTCCTGTTTACCTCATTATCTCAAGCCATCAGATCAGCACTTCTGATTCAGCTTCTTTCCCCAATTTGCCTTATTCTATGATGCATCTCTTGATCCTTCATTAAGAGCCTCCATCAATTTTTCATATACCCTGTTACAACTTGTGTCTAGATGTCCCCCCGCCCCACCCCCGCCGCCAAAGCCTCATGTGGGGCTTTTTTCAGAGGTGGCTGGATCTAGAGGTGTGATGCTAGAATTGATTCAAGGTGCAATGCTAGGATCAAGGGCACTAGAATTAAGGGTGTGAGTGCTACCTATCCTAAGTAATCTGGATAAGGTATAAGGGATAGAAAGAGCTGTGGTCAGCCCTTGTTGCTTTTTTTACCTTCTACCAACCATGAACTGTTTCTCCTCTGCAATGTCTGTCTATTGTGCTAACCTGCCTTGGAGCCAGCCAATTATGGACTGAGACTTCTACAAACTGAGCTAAATAAACCTTTCCTACCTTAACTTGTAGGTGTCAGGTATTTTGTCTCAGCAACGAGAAAAGTAACTAAGCTGGTGACTCTCAAACTAGACTCAGCCTACTCCATAGTGTTTATAAACTCTAAGTCCATGACACAACCATGTTGACTGGCTCTCTTACAAATATCTGATCTTTACTCTCATCTGAGTCTTCAATGGCCTCAAAATTGTCTGATAATTCTTTATTTCTAGTCAGTTCCCATGATTTTATAGATGTTGTTCAAAACAACAATATTCTTTCAAAGTTATGACAATACTTTCTTTTTCTTAAATTCTTTTATTGGTACATTTTAGGTATACAGTACGTTTACATTTATCATTGGGTGCTTGTACCTGTACATGATGTATCTTGGTTATTTTTTCCCCATTACCTGTGCACCCTTTACCCCTCCACCCTTCCCTGTTTACGTAGACTTCGTTTCCATTTTTTTTCTTTTCTCATAATTTTTCCTGACAAGGCTTTCATCTCTAGTCAGTTTCTATGTCCATGTTTCATAGATGTGGTTCAAAATTCCAAAATCTTTCTTTCAAAGTTATCTAGCTACCCCATGCTCCCCTCACTCCCAACAGGGCCACAGTATATAATCAGGCTTTTCTTTAAAAAATAATTTTTTAGGTATTTTAATAGTGAAATATTTTAAAAGACATGTTAGCAAAAGCATTTTCAACATAGAACAATTGAGTACCATCTTCTTTTTTATCTCTAAGATTAATTCACCCTTCTAATTGTACTTCATGGAACCATCTCCCTTCTATCTCAAACTTTCTCTTTGTCCTCAGCACTCGTTCTCCTACTCTTGACCTCTTTACTTCCTTTGCCAGCTTCTACATCAATGTGCTAGTACACCTCAGACCTCTTTTCCTTTCACCTAACATGTTCCCTAGGTGATCTCATCCACTTCCACAGCTTATTCCAGTCGTATGTTGATGACTTCCTCTTTATAAGTGGTGATCCAAAATACAGTGAATGCCACTGCAAAGTGCCATCGAAGGGAAAGGTATGTCTTCATTCACCTTGTCCACTGGATCTGACACCATATAACTTCTAGTTCTTCCCCAAAGTTAAAATGACCATGAAAGGTAAACATTTAGAAGTGATTCGGGACACTGAGGCAGCCATGACAAAGCAACTAAAAGCATGACACAAAACATCCAGAACTGCTTCAGAAAGTGGCAAGAATGATGGATAAGCGTATTTGAAGAAAGGGGGACTATTTTGAGGGGACTTAATGACAATGTATATTTTACTGTAATTTTTTTTAATGTTGAGTATTCATCATATTTTTTGATCATACTGCATAAGAATTTTCCAGAACTGAAGATAGGCATCCACAGATTCAATGTGCACACTGAATATCGTTCAAGGAAAATAAAAACAAATCTGCATGTAAACTCATCTGGGTAAAATAAAAAAACTTTAAGGATAAAAAGAAAATGTAAAATATCCTGGAGTAAAAATACAGATTGACTAAATGGAAGGAAAATTACACTAACAGCAGATTTCTATATGAGATGATGTAAGATAAGTTAAAAATCTTCCAAGGAGAAAAAAGAGAATGAAGGAGAAAAAAGAAAATGCTGAACCTTGAATTCTTCCTGCTAGTGTTCTTCAAAAATAAAATGGACTTTTTCAGACACAAAGCTAAAACTTCCCTCTTCAGACCAGAATAACTACTTCACACAGAATACACTTCAGTATGAAAATAAGTGAGCCAAAGGGAGCACAAGAGTATTTAATGATGCTGACTGAGTCTGGATTCCACCTAGAAAACAGAAGATGTGTGACATGTGTGTACTACTGAAAGGTTCCATGGCCTTAAGAAAGATAAAACAGCTTGGTAAAAATAAATTTTGCAACAAAAGTATTAGCAGGGTTTTGGCTTATTTTGTTTCCTTGAGTTTTTACAGAATTTAGTCCCAGTTTTGGCTATTCAAATTCCTATAACTTTAAATACAAAAGGAAAGAAGCACTACCGAGATAGCAATGTTAAAGGTATTTACCTTTTCCTTTCATTACAAAATAATCGGTGTTATATATTTATATATTTACCAAAATATTATAATTATTTTGTTTTGCTAATCTTTTCTTGTTTTCCAGATGATCTGAAATTAATTTAAGAACTCCAATCACATTCATTTAATCTCCCTAATACTGTGTCCTTACTGTATTTAATAAGTTCAACCAAACATCAATTTCACAAGGTTATTCCACAGTATGATATTATAAGACTTAGCATGGGAAAGAAAAAAAGACTCTTAGCCAAAATGATGATTACATATTTAATACATCTTGCTTTTAACAGCAATTTTCAAAGTAAACACATCATAGTCCTTATAACTTATTAAAGATTTTATAATGCTTGAAAAGTTGATTCTAAAAATATATCTTATTTTTTCTACATGAATAACATCTGGTAGATAGAACAATAAATTACAGTAGCATATTTACCACCACTGTAAACTTGTGTACACATATTTAATATGAAATCCTTTTAGGATTTTTACACTTTCAGCCTGAAAACATAAAAGCAAATTAAAGTTTGGCATACAAGATTTCAGTCTGATAGCAAGAGTTTTAAAACCAAAAAATTTAAAATATCTACATGACACTCTAGGAGAGCACGAGCACATGCACATACATATACATTCTCACTCAATCACACATACCACACACACGCACACACATATGCTCCCAAAATACACAGAAGATTTTGCTCTTGGGTATCAGACATTGTCGATCATTTCAAAGAGAAAAACTAGGGGGAAACTTAGCTAAGAATATGTTTAAACCATACTTAAATGGCTCTAGTTATTAAAAAGGCATGCCCAACACTGTTACCAACACCTTTAACATGCACAGACTACCATCCCCATTCCTCCTTTAACAGACTTGAACTATTCACTATTGGACATGAGTGCATAAGAAATTATGTATCCACTCATTCCCCAGACTGTTTAAAATAAGGTTGCAAATCCAGGCATTCCACTGACAATGAGTTATATGACTAAGCCCAGCTAAAGTGGTTTGTTTTACAGAACCAATAGATTATAGAACCCAATAGAATTAGAAACTTAATTTTGATCTGTTTGAAGTTTATCTATCCCATGTGCAAAAGCAGTGTGAGACTCTGTATTGCAAATAACAGCTAATACCACATTTTATGACAGTGCAAAAGGTCACTTTGTTGTTCCAAAACACATATTCTACTTAAATTTGCTAACTTTTAATTATATATTTTCTTCCAAATTTAGACTCAAAACATTTTAATGGTGCTTATCACCTGGTCATCACAAATAACTCCAGTAAAATCTGTCAAAACAGAAAATTATTTTCTGGGCTCTATCCAGTAATGCAGGTTTGAAACCATTCTACATGAAGGTTCATTTTTACTATATTCTGAAATATTCAAAACTCTCTGAAACAACATCAAAATAAAAACTAATCATACATTTGGGCACTCATAACTCAAACTGTTGTGACTGGAAAAACAAAAAGGCACAACAGTAAGTGACAGAGAAAATACGGGCTTCCCATTTGCTTTTTATTTTTGGCTTTCCTCTTTTTTTTTCCCCTAACTTATAAATTGTTCAAAGGATTCTTAAGACTCTTGATGACAGCAGTAGAATATTTTGGCACATTAAATGTTGTGATATAATGTATGGTATGTTTAAAAAATTAATTTAAAAAATTTATCTACTAATTAACATTTTTAATGTAATGCACATATATCTTACAGTTTTTAAGTCAAATACATAAAGGTTTGTAACTGATTTACAGATGAAGCAATCACAGATTGCAATAATAATGTGTGTGTGTGTGTGTGTGTGTGTGTGTGTGTGTTCCTGTACACACCAATCATGGGAAAAACTGCATCCTGGCAATTTTACAGTCCAAAGTTTAACAGTCCAAAGTTTTGTTGATATAATTTACATGCCCTTTCCTTCTTGTTTTTCTGTACAAGAGGTATATTTTTGCCTTCTTCATTCTTGATGAGATTTTTCTGCAATAACTTTACATTCATACTGCAAAAAGTAAAGGTTAAAAGGTTAACAGATAAAATCTCTTTGAATTGCAATTTCCAAATAAACTAAAGAAGTTCTATAAATGAATAATATATGTCCACTTTATTCCTCAAAGAATCTGAAAGTTACACATTTACCACAATTAAATAAGAAACGTTATAGAAGAAGAGTTAATTCATATTCTAGAAGTGAAAGAGCCATAGGCAAAGGCAGGACATGGCTGACTTTTCTGCATGACAAATGATAGCAACATATGATTTAGATCAATCCTAGAATGTGAAATGAAGCAAAGTAGGCTTCCTTTAGTGCTCAGTAAGGCAAATCAGCAAAGGGAAGGCCGTGAACTTAAGGACAGGACTGATGTAGTAAACTCAGATCACTGTTTTTTCAAAGCACCTTATGATTTAAAGGAAAAGATTATCGCATTACAAAAGCTTCCGGTTAAAACAGTATTTTTACAGTACAGCTATAAAAATGTATAGCCACAATTCAAAATAAAGGAAACCACGACAGAATAATTGGGTGTCCAGACTGTTAAAAAAGACAGCAAAGTAAATCACTCAATTCTCCTAGCTGGTTAAAATTATAAGTGACAGCACTTATTCATAAAACTGCTGTGGCCTCTGAATGTTACACTTTAACCCTTGCTACTATGACTGGGTTTATCAGTGATGTGTTTTTCCTTCATAATTAAAATGATCAAACAACTGTATTTGCTTGTGACAATTCTAATTTATCTATATTGTAGCAATGTATTGGTAGTGCCCCTTTTCACTTTTACAACCATTCTGATGGATTAGAAACCTGTAGATTAGTTTTTAAAAATCTAATGTCTCCACATGGTCAATAAATCATATACCCTTATCCTTAACACATTCTGGCCTTTCCAGTAATTTTTCTACATTTAACACACCTGGATTAAATTCTTCCAAATGTTTTATTTCAATGAGAGTGCAACAGAGAAGTCCAAGAATACTGTCTTTACAAATTGCCTTCTCTAAAAGAAGGACCATTATTTAGAGAAAACTCATCATATGTATCTCATACAGACAGTGATAAAATAAGCATTAGTTTACCATTGCCAGTTGTCGACCAATGTTTCCCATTGTTATGCCTCCAGCAAAAAATATACATGGTAACCAGGAACGAACATAGAGAAAATCTGGAGATGTATACCTAGAGTAATAGAAATATTTTAACAACTCACAGAGGAAGTGCAAGTACATTTAAGATAATTACAATGAAAATAAGTTACTTTGTTAATCAAATCTCAATTCTGAATGTGGTTATCATTTATTTACCTAGGAAACAAGCACCAAAAGAATAATACTTACTGATAAACACCGTTATAGACTAGCAGTTGAGTGACCACAGTTGCCAAGAAAGCGATTCCGACTCCAAGGCCAAAACCACTTCTAGATCTATCAAAAGACCACCACAGTCCAATGGAGAGCGCAGCCAGTGTGAGAGACAACTGTATGTTGTTGTCAAAATCCACTTTCTGAGATCAATGTTAAAGAGCCATCTCAAAATTTGTAACCAAAATTACCCATTCACTTTTGTAAAATAAGAGATGCTACTGTTGAAGGAATGGTTTATTCTTGAATACACTAGTCTTTTATCTTTCAATATAATATATATGACTAAATGGGATTAAAATTATCTCTAGAATTTACTAAATCCCAGGTACAAAGAGGGAATTAATTAATAGATTCTACGTACCTATAATCCCTCCAAAAGTCTATATACATTCCCAATTATAAAGTCAGGCCCATTATTTAAGAAACGCTTTCTTTGCTAAAAATGTGAGTACAAGCTTCAGAACACTAGTAATGCTAAAAGAACACACTCTTGTAAAAAAGGAAACCAATATTACTCTCAAAGAGATTTAGAATTACTTGAAAATCATACAGGAACTTGAAAATAGAAGGGTTGACAGCTATTTAACAGGATACCACATTCTCTGTATGATTTACTGACAGACACATTTTATAATAATGCAGTTCAGAAACAACAGTACCAAGGACACAGTATCCCTTTCTATTATGTCAACTGTTCGAGTTTTAATTTGTTGAGGATAAAGCCTTGAAGGGAACATTATCTTGCAACCTGCCAAGTTATTTTGGTGCCTGAGACTTTCTAGTAGAGGATAGTTCGCTCAAATGATATTTTATTTTTCATCATCTACTTAAGCATCTATTCACAAATGTATAGCCCTATTCTACTCCAAAACCTCTGGGCAGAATGAAGCTTTACAAATTCAATTTTCTCATTTCTTTGCTAGAGGATTACACTAAAGGAATTAATTTCAAGTGTCATTAAAAGAGCATTAACTATTTCCCAAAGGCCACATCTTGGCTTTATAACCAGCTCCTTGAGGGGTCCTACTATCTCAGCAAACTAACTGGCCATGCTATAAGTCCAAGTCCAAAAAAAAAAAAAATGGATATAAAACCATCTCCTACTACCTTCAACATCTCATTGTTGACCACCATTCCAGTGCCCCTATCAAGCCAGCATTCTGAACACCCAGCTTGCTGACATCTCAGCATCTGAGGGCTGTTGTATGTCACTCCCTCGAGGTCATTTCTTAAGCTTGATTTATCAAGAAACCTTTAGTTCACACAGGCATGCTTTCTGGAAAAGCGTTTCTTATTTTTTAGCTGTCATTATGCTTAAACTCTAAAAGAAAAGATTTTGAACACTGATTCCTCTGTACAATAAATATTTGCATAAAGAGTGGCATCTGATGTTAAATTAACTTCAATAAGCAAAATAAGAAAGCTTCAGTGAAAACAAGTAAAGTGCATCAATCTTAAAAGTAGTACCATGTTATTTTTTAAAGTCTAAGTAACCTAATATGCAAAGTCTATGCGAGAAATTTTATAAACATTTTGGATTTTACTAACAGGGCAACTAAGATGTTATATTTAAGTATTTCATTCAAAGAGTAAGAAAAGAGAGAACAAAGGAAACAATGTAAATTGTATATAAAGTTTTTTTTAAATTTTAGTAAAGGTTATTTAAATTTCTCAACTTAAAAACAAAAATCACAGGTGAAATGTCTGAGATACAAAGGTCTACTCCAGCGACAGGAATTTGCATAACTATGGGGCTGCTAGGTAAGAGAATGAGATGTTCTTAGACAGGATTCAGGAGCTCTTGTCTCTGGTCTCAGCTCTGCTGTAGCCTGGTATGGTAAATAAAATAGCAAATGATGCAGCCTCTCTAACTTCAATATATCTTGTTACCTTTATAAAGAAGACATGGAACTAGGTGATTTCTAAAATATGACAGTCCATGATTCCATCTTGTTAAATCCTCCCAACAACTATATTTGTTTTAGAAAATTCTAAATCTTAAAAAAGCTCATGAAAATAAACATGCTGAGAAATTCCTTAATACAAAAGAAAACAGAAAATCAAAACAATAACAGCCTTTGGGGTATTTTCAAACCCACTGACCTGCAGGACCAGTGAAACGGGCCACCGTGGTTTTTGTTCCCAAGAGTATCAAAAGGGCCTCAAAACCTGGTGAAAGACACAGGAACTGACTTGCCACATGACCCACACACTCCAGTTAATTCCACTGGCCCCGGGCTCAAAGCAGTGTAAGACAGCAAACCTCTGGCAGCCTGAGTCATACTTTATGTTCTTCCCAGTTCCTAAAGTTCCTGCTACCTTCACTACGTAAACCAAATCTTCTAGAAAAAAGAAGACAGGAGTAACATTTCCCAGATCCTCTTTTGCAAAGGAAAGTCAGAGAAAGATGGCAAAAGGAGAGGAAGTAGGAACGATGACCAAAAGAAAAACCTTATGAGGGCAAAAAAATACGTTCTCAGGTGGAACTTTTCTTCTGGAGAGAGAAGGGAAATGGTAGCTATATTATCCTTCTCATGAGGACACTATAAAAATACTCATTAATCACTAAACAAATTGTTAGATTCCTCAAATAATAAAATTGCTAAAATATATACCTTAGAGGAAAAAAACGAAGATAACTTGTATTAATCTCATGTCTCAACAAATTTAGTATTAATATACTTATACGTTTTTCTTTTCCTGATGTACACATGTTTTTGGTGGACTCTGTAGTTACTTCTGGCCAAGGTCTCAAGTATTTCTACTTAAGCCACTTTTAAGAATGTTTATGTTATATTTTGATATTGATTAAAAACAGTGACAGTCTTTTTAAAATTATAACTTCTTTAAATTAAGAAAAATAAAAAACATTTGCCTTATTAATTTCTCATTGCTGAAACAAAATATCCAACACCCAAATTTAAGGGGGGAAAGCTTTATTTGGCTCTCAGTTTGTAGAGGTTTCGGTCCATAATCAGCTGGCTCCAAGCAGGTTGGCATGGCAGAGTGGCACCATAGAGGACAAACAGGTCATGATGGGTAGAAAAACAGCAAGCAGGGGACCTTAGCAGCTTCTTTCTCCCCCTTTTATATTCTATCTAGGCTACTGGGATTAGGGTGGTGCCAAAGCAATCAGTGGACTGATTTAGTAATCACTAGCCTTAATCCTAGCATTTCACCATGAATCAGTCACACACTCTAGATTTGGCCACCTCTGAAAAAGCCCCACCTATGACCACATGAGGCTTTGGGAGTACATCTAGACACAAACCATAACAACCTGTAATCCCAACACTCTGGGAAACTCAGGCAGGAGAACTACAAACCTGAACCTACCCTGGGCAATTCAACAACTTAGCAAGACCCTGCCTCAAAATAAAAAAATAAAACAAAAAGCTGGGATGTAGCTTAATAGAGGCCCCAGTACTTCAAATAATAATAATGTTAATAATAACAGAAGCTACCACATGTCATTATTAGCAAGTCTATTTACTTATTTGTTTGTTTATGTGTTTGTTTGAGACAAGGTGTTGCTATGTAGTTCAGGCTGGCCTTGAACTCACTGCAATTCTCCTGCCTCAACCTCCAAAGTGCTGGGATTACAGGTGTGCACCACCATGCCCAGATCAGGTAAATCTTAAATGAAGAAAAAGAGGAAAAAAATTCATTGAAAATGTACCTGTTTGAATTACAGAATGACTGGGAGTTTTCCTGCCTTGACAGTATAACCTCCAGTCTTATAAGATTATATGGAAGTAATTAAGTAACTTGATTTAGGACAAACATAAATTTTTCAAATATGCAAAAATGTCTAAATGGCACAGAATAAAAGGGATTTAAATGAAGAGCTACTTCCCCACTATAATTGCATAGCTGCTACTCTGATTTCAAATATATGGTTCATATGTGTTTTATGGCTAAGTGGGCACATCACAATCTGACAACAGTAAAGTTGCAAGGGGCTATTTAATCTTTGGTTTGTTGGAAGCTGCTTTATTACTGCGCATTTCATTACAGTGTAAAGGATACAGCACTGGCATGATTTATACCAACAAAGACAGCTACACACCGCATTACACTGGACCACTCTCTTTTAAATTTATGTGGTTCTCCTAGATGCCTGTCAATGCAGGGGTATAATAACCCAATCACAGCTGTGGGAAAAAGAAAAAAAATGTTATCTCCAATGTTATACTGACAAAAATGAAACTATAAGAATCACTATGGCCATGATATGCATTTTAAAGATTCTTTTAAAAAAAAACAAGCTCAAGTTACTTAATATCAATTACAGAGATTATTAAACTTATCTCCCAAAAGAGGACAATACCACTGAAGACAGCATTGTAAATGATTAAACCAGTAGCCTAAATTCTAATAGACAAAACATTTAAGTGTATGACTCACAATTTAGCAGCCTGGACTAAATGATTCATGCTACTTTTCTACTATAAATATCTATGAGACTTGAAAAGCATCAAACCAGTTAGAACTTAAGCAATATGTTTTGAATCCTCCATAACCCTGAAATATGCTTTTAAATGCCACAAATCTGAAAGAAAAGTTAGAAGCATAAGTACAAAAACAGCCTCATCATACACACAATGTTTCTGGGTGCTGGCTAACCTGTTCTATAGATTAGTCTTGCCTCATCAGGTTCTCTCGTGTCAGTCTTCTGCATCTAGCACCTTTTCCTGACACTCCTTTCCACCCTGGGGCTCTTAAAAGACTGTAGGTCACACTGTCAAAGCAGGAAAACTCCCAACAGAAATCTATATGTAACATTAATTCTGCACATAGGAAAAATGGAGTAAACATAGTCTGTAGAAATACAAATTTCAAATGAAATTTAAATTCCAAGTTAAAAAATAATAAATCATCTTACTATATTTTTTAGTTTTGAAAAGAGCATCTTGAAGGTTAACTGAAATTAATTATAAACAGTTACTATATACAAAATGTATATGATTGAGACCCAAAATATTCTCAGTCTATCCTTATTTATGAAACCTCAATATTTTATTCAGTAAGTAGAGGAAATTTTTAAATGCTGAGTTAGTTATTTTATAAAAGACTAAATGAATCAAAACTTTATTTAACAAATTATAAAGAAAATGTACTTCCACTGATTAAATTTAACAAGAAATAGCTAGGCAGCTTTGATTTGCTAATCTTCCTCAAAATAAAATGATTATGGTACCATTCTGAGAATAAAGACACAACTGTCACATCATTTGGAAAGCACCTTTGAAATGTCCCAAACCACCTACGACGTATAATGAAACTGTTGCATCAAAATCTAAGTGAGGGGGGTCAGAAGCTCCTCCCCAACTTAGTATTAGCTAGCTACCTCTCACAAACACTGTATTTAATCTTCAGAGAAAAACAGAAGCCAATTAATATCATAAACCACAGGCTAGCAGACTGAAGGAACAGCATTACAGAGGCTGCCTGGCCACTGTTCCATGGGGAGCTGAGATACTGCAATAATGCATGTATTTTCTAGTCTACAAGTCTTTTGATTTAAGCATTTGCTGAATATAGATGGCTCACAGACCCTTAAGAAATTAAAGACAAATCTCAGCAAAGCAGAACTCCAACAACTATTAAGTAACTTAAGTTTCATATTAATCCTATTTAAAAGTTACTGCTCCAAAAATCCTGTAAGATTAACTGACAGTATTTCTTTCTGACACAATTAAAATGGTAATATGCATGCCTAATTGAAATACATGTAAATGAATGTTGCTTTTTTTCCTCAAGGGGTCATAAAACTAAAAACTCATCTGTCATTTCTCTCTCCCCTGGCTGCTCTACATAACATAGAGATACAAATAGATATAGACTACCTGTATCTACCTATACTCATACCTACCCCCTTTCGTCTCTCTCTCTCTCTCACCTGGTTTGCCTATTGCTGAATAAAATCAACTAAAAGCAGGCACTCCAAGTTAATTTTCTTCAGCAGCTGATGCCACAGGTAAAGAATTATCACATGAAGAATATTGACATGTATGTGCAAACATATAAATAAATAAAATTGACTACATTTTTATGCATGTGATGTCAGATTTGCAAGTAAGAGACAACTAAGAAGAGGAAGCAAAAACACAAAAAGGAATTTAAACTGCCACCTGCCAACCTTGGGATTTGCCAGTAAAAATCAAATCTATTGAGTATGCATGGTTCTTGGTTGCTCACTGAGAGGAAGAATTCGAGGAAGCTTGTCACTTCCCATTAAATATCTTCTTTCTTTCCTTTAAATAAAGGCATGGCAGAATCTGATGACAATATATACAGTGCTGTAAGGCTTCACTGTTTGGGAGCTCAGAAGAATATGTCTGAGCTTCTTTTCCCTTCCTGTGCCTTTAAAAAAGAAAGAAAGAAAAACAAGACTGTTAAAATCATGCCCATGTAAAATTATGTGCAAAGTCCTGTTTGATCCCATGGCACTCTGATGCAAAAATCACATTTCTTGTGGTATCTTTAAGTGATTTCCCAGCAACTAGCTAGTTTGCCAAGACTAAAGATCACCTGTAGTAAGTCATCACTTTATGATGGTACTGTGCTTAAAGCAGTGAGGAAATAGAAAGAACAGAGTTAAATTAGACATTTTACAAGGAGAGAGAGGCTGAAAAGACAAAACCACTCAATGAAATGCACTTCCATGGAAAACTACAACAGAATAAGATAACGTTTTCATTCAACAAATACTTAAGTCCTACAATTTATCTAGCACTTGGTATTTGATGGGGATTTAAAAGAAAAAAGAGAGAGATATGATTCCAGTAGCAAAGTGACCAGAGACACTATTAAATGCAGTGCTGTGTTAGGACTGACCCCAGGCCTCTCCCTGCATCTGGTAAGGAAAGGAGGGTGCTGATGGGCCAGAAGGAAAGCTTCACAGAAGAGATGACCCCAGATGGGCTGTGCTCAGCAGGTGACTGGGATGGAAATGGCTTTCTCATCAAACTTAAGAGACAGCTGAAAAGAGCCAGTGTTACCAGGAAACCGTTAGCTCTGGACATGAAAGGAGCTTCAGGGTGTAGAAAGATTTCAGAGAAAGATAAAAGCAGACAAGGCCATATCATAAAGACTTTACCCTGCAGATACTGGAGGATGAGGAAAATGATGCCATCACACTTGTCCCAGGGAGAAGCATCTTTCGTATAGCAATGAGTGTACAACACAGAGAATGAGACAGAGGCACAATGAGAGGTAGAAAGATAAAGACTGATAACCCCAAGCCAGTGGTGAGGCCTGGACCAAGAAACAGCAAAGATATAAAACTTGGAAGCTGTAAGTGATAGGTGAGAGAAAAGAACGGGTCTTATAAGAGTCTCCAGGAATGGGGTGAAATGCATGATGAAATGGAAAAGATTTTTCTATTTTTCTTTTTTTTTTAAGTTACTTATTGCTTTCACAGGTCTGGATTCAAACTAGCTACTTGAGATATTTGAGGCAACTTCCCTACTTATTTTACCCACACCATGACAACTGTTTTTTCTTCTCTTATGTATTCTTTACAAAGATTCCTTTGTGGCCCTCTGTAATACTCAGGAAGTTTCTAATTCTAGTTCTAGTGCACTGCACACATAAAAAAGGTAATCAGCTTCTAAACATCAGCACTGTTAAACTAAAAGCAGGGAACTCAGAAAAGGAAAATGAGAAGAGATTTATGAGACATCTCCACTGGTCCCTGAAGAAGGACTTCTAGCTTTTTCTAGGACTGTGTGATAGGGAACATGGCACATAATTAGTTTTTTTTGTTGACAGAAAGTGGTGACTCGGGAGACTCTCAAAAGGTAACTGCTTTAAAGGCCTAAGAACATTAGTTGGACAGGAAAATTAAAAGATGACTATCAATTTTTCTGACCTACAATGGTAAGAACCTAGAGAGGTTTTGAAAATGCATAAATATATATACACAAAAACAAACTCACAAACTCATATTCAGTACATTTATTCTATCATTTACTTTTTTCCCTTGATATTTTCTCTAAAATATGGGACAGAAATTATGCAGGAATCTATATTCTATCTTTGGCAACTGTCACAAATCTGTTCTCTTCATTCTCACTCACTAAATACTATTCAACAAACATGGTGGCAGAGTTAACTGGAATCTGGATTTCCTAATGTCTCTCTACTTCCTTTTGCCCAGGTACTTTATGGAGCACATGTTTTCAGAAGAAATATTTAAACAAGAAATGTAAATGAAAATCCTCTAAATAAAAAGGTTTGAGGTTAATTTAGTTTACAAGTGTGACAAAACCTAACAGCTAGGAAAAGGAAAAAAGAAGGGACCAAATGGCTGAATAGTAGTATTAACATTTGTAATTTTTCTTCCTAAATGTGAGTTTGTGAAAAATGGGCCCCATTACAGGGACAGACCAACAGGCAGCAGATGCAGCCTTTCCTCTCCATAAAGGAGTTAAAACGGAAGCTCTGCCAAGTTCCCCTGCCCTAGGCCAGAATGTGCAATATACATCATGTATTCATCCAGGTCTGGCACTCACCTGGAGGCTAGAAAGGAAGGATTCTGAGTAAGGAGAAGTGTGAGTAGCTCCTTCTGTCCCCTTTCCCTAGTGTGTGACTCCTGACCCCAGCCCCACTCCTCACTGGCTCTAGGATCCTGGGCTCACTAATTTACTCTCTTCATCTCAATGTCCTCATCCCCTCAAAGAGGCACACTCTCCCGAGGTTGTCCTCCACAGGACATGCCATAAGTAACATTTCCCTCCTCTGATCTTCCTTTCTGTCTGCTCTGAAAAGACATGTTCTTCCAAGTATCAAAATATTTCTATTGGCAGCCACACAGAGCTATGTATCAGGAGAAAATAACTAGAAAATTTTATTGAAAAAATTTTTCTCTTGCAAATTTGAAAGAAAATACATGAGAAGCAGCAAATATAACACAGAGTAATAAAATATAATTTGTGCTTTCTTCCCTTTGTCTGGACTATTTTGCCTATTCTCTCAGAGCATGTTAACTCTGGAGAAATTAGGAATCACTGCCTTTATGATCTCTATTTTCATGTGAGTACTGCAGTGGTTAGACATCAATATTTAAACCACACTGAAACCTCAGCACAAGAATGTCCTTCTGTCCATGGAACACAATTACACATCTTTCCCATAGGTTTAATGAGGTCATTTAAATTGTCTCACAATTTGATCTCACCCTTTGAATTCAGCCTTCTACCTCAGGCTTTAGGATGTAACCCCAGAAAGAACTACATTATGTTTCAACATATGCATCTAAATATGGACATTCAAAAAAGCAATTTTCTGTCTCAATCACAATTATCTTCTACCATATGATTATGGCTGCCTTATATTAATTATATAAAATACTAGTATAGTTTATTGGTCTCAGTCATTAGAAAAAGCTAATCAATTATGGAAGGCTGGCATCAATAAAGCACTCTGAAATGCTCCACTGTATCCATTACACATCATGCACCATCAAAAAAACATACAGAGTAACTAACCAGATTCTCAGTGAGAGATTATCTTTGATCTCTCTAAATATTTACTGTTAAGATACATTTAAAAATAAGATACCAAGAAAAAGCATATATCAAAATCTTTAAAAAAAGAAACTTTAAAATTGAATAAAATATTCCATTTTTTCAAGTTTTTATCTACTTCATAAACAAAACAGAGCACATGCATCAAACACTTCAAACCTAGCAGTAGTGACCTTCAACAAAATAACTAAAATCTTACATAAGATAAACTGAAGAAACAACAAAATCAAGCAGTTTAGTGCTTTATCCCAAAGGGAATCAGGTTAGGTTTTAGGGTTAAATTTTAAAAGTTGATAGGTCACAAAGAAACCAAACACAGTGAGAGAAAGTGAGGAATTAAGTGATTGCATTGATATTCCATCTCAGAACAGGCAAAAGTAATCTTTGGCGACACAAATCAGATCAATGGTAGCCTGAGGCTAAGGGTGGGTAATGGACTTCAGTAAGACATGAGAAAATTTGAGGGATGACAGAAATGTTCTACAGCTGGATTGTGGCTGTGGTTGTGCATGTGACTACATGCATTTGCCCAAATGCTTCAAACTGTTCACTTAAATTAGGTCCATACAATGGACTTACGCTGTACTAAAATTATAGCTCAATAAAGCTGATTTTTAAAAGTTTATTGCTGAGACAACATCCACAATTATTTGCCTTATTTCCTTTCTAGGCACTGCCAAAACATCCTATACGTACCTGAAGCTGTGCCACAGCACGGTGGTACCCACCATGCTGAAGAAAAGATGCTTGCAATCACATCAGGTGGAAACAGCGTCACATTTCTCTGAATCTGGAGCAAATTTAACACTAAAGCAAGAAATACTCCAATAAAAAATAAGACTACTCCTCGAATCACCAAGTTCACACTCTGGCTAGTGACAGATGAAATATATGGGCCACACTTTTTGGCCCCAGGTGACTCCATCTCTCCTTCTGCCATGGTTTCATAAGTTCAGTAAGCTGAAAGAAAAAAGGAAAGGCTTCCTGGCTGCAAAGATCAACTGTCTGTGAATCAAAGCAGACTGATGTTTCAATAGTACTACATCTCGTCCTAAAGGAGGACCTACCAGAAATCCTGCAAAAGATAAGAAAAACAAATCAATGTGTGTTTAATATACGATCAAACAATTTTTCCAACTCCATTACTAATTAATTTAAAAAGACAAATAATGAAATGACAAGTTTGCATACTAACTTATTTAAATTAGATATTGCTGAATGAGAAAAGATTTTAAAATATTTTATACATATGATGCAATAAAAATAAAGTGTTACTCTTATATTTACTAGGATAGAATAAGTGACCTAAGAGATCCAAAGATTAAAATATTATTAAAAATAGCTTATTCCACCTCATATAAAAGTGGAGCAGGTAATCTGAGATACTTCTGATAGAATCTGGAAGATCAAACCCAGGTCTCTGTATCTTCCACCTAAGTCTCCAAGCCCATCAGTTACAGTACTTTATATTTTATAGAAAATCAACATACTGACTGAAGACAATCTATTTTACATAATAAAATATGACTTGCTCATGAGAACAATTCCATAGAAGAACAAAATGGCCTTTTTAATGTTTAATGCTTATATATTTGAATTGCTGCACAAAAGCATTCTATAAAAACCAGACCACCATGCACTCACCTACACATACAGCAGCCACAGAAGCCAGATTTGACCATACTCCCCAGGGCCACAGCTAGGTCCAACTGCTACTTTAACCTCAGTCTGCCCTAATTACAGTCATGACAGTAACTATGAGAAAGCCAGAAAGGGAAGCAGAAGAAAGAAAGGTAAGAGAAGAACAACCTCATGACTAGATTCTGAGGATTTCTTACATGGCCCCTGACTTCTAAAACCCAGAACTCTGCTATTCAGTCATTCTAGGTATTTGTTTATTCCTCTGACCAAAGTGTTCCTGTGGTTTGGATACTGTTTGTTCTCCAAGATTCATGAATTGGGAGCTTGCTCCTCAGTGTGCTGATGGTGGGAAATGGGACCTTGAAGAAGTGGGGCCTAGTGGGAGGTCCTTGGGCCAACTGGGACACTACCCTTGGAAGAAACTGTGGGATACTCCAGCCTGTCTGGCTTCCTACTTGGTGATGTGATCTTGCCTTTTTCTGCACTTCTGCCATCTTCTATAAGCAGAGGTGATGCTGGTATCATGCCCTTAAATCTCAAGAACTATGAGCTAAATAAGTCTCTATTCTCTATAAAGCTGGCCTGCCTTAAGTATTTTGTTACAATAATGGAAAAATTAACTATACAATGATCATTCCTTTGCCCATACTTAAGACAAATAATGTAATGTTTTCTATGTGCAATTCTAAGCACTTGACATATAATAACTCATTTAACCCTCACAATGCCCTAATACTTAACCCTAAGAGGTTAAGTGCAATTATTCTGTCCATTTTACAGGTAAAGCAAAATGGCAAAGAAAGGGTAAGTGACTTGACCAAGTTTATACCCATAGTAAGAGGTGGACCAGGGATTCAAATCCATGACTTCAAAATCCTTGTTCTTAGCATGTTCTGCTCCCTGAACTGTTAGACATTTTTCTATTTGTTTTCAACAAATACTAGTAGTTTTTAAATAGGAAAATACTACACAGGCTATTTTTGTAATATACTCTCATCTTACCCAACTGTAATATATCTTGAGCATCCCCTTACAAGTCAGGGGATAAATCATTTATTTAAAATCATAGATAGCACTTATGGTAACTATCTTATAATGATATAGAAAGATGCTATATGGATTATAAACTTTCTATGTAGGTCTTATTCACTATTATATCTCCCACTGTGTCTCCATACCCAGAAAGCTTCCTGCTTAGCCCTCAGTGGGAGTTCCATACATTCCTACTTGTTTAATTAAATGAGGGTAACTCTTACTGAATCAAACTACAGTAGGTTAAGCAGGCTTTTTAGAAGGCAACTCTAGAACCTAATCATCATTTAAAATACATTACCTCTAAGTTTCCAATTTTTAAACTATATTACAAATGAATTTTAGAACAAAACTCAATGTGTAAATTCCAAGGAATAAAGGTAACATTAGAAATAACCATTATAAAAAATTTTTTAAGTACTAGTAACTTCCACAGCCTATTAGTTCCATGTGATAAACAATTGGCTTTTTAACCGAGTCTCTGCCCTTCCCAAAGTTCTGTGCCCAGAACTGTCCCTAAGCTAGTCCTCACCAACCTACTTAGTCTATAGTGTAATCGAATCCTACAGCTTAGAGGACCAGAGAAAATAGTACATATTACAGTGGATTTGTGGGAAAGTTCCAAATCCAACTGAAAATGTCCAGAAAACATCTCCACCTGGCCTGATATTCAAACTATTCCTTGCCATGCTGTGGTATCCAGGTATATTAACATGTTATGTGTTCTGAACATTCTTAGCAAAGTTAGGTAGCCACAGAACAGATGATGATGATCATTATCATCACCATCATTGACAGAGCACTCATTAATTGAGCACTTACTCTTTGTGCTAGACATACAGTAACTCTGATCTTCAAAATAATAGTAAAGATAGGAATTATTTTACCAATGAAGATGCTAAGTCAAAGAGATTTAGCAATTGGATTATTAATGGTGACAGGACATGCAGGATTTGAACTGGAATTTTACTTCAGGTCTAAATGATCCCCAAATTCATTCTCTTTCCTCTATATCCCAAGTCCCATTCCACTTCAACTACTTAGACCTGTGTTTCAGCCCATGGGTCTCTATAAAATTATTTGGTTACTGAAGAGATGAGTAAATATTAAAAAACCAGTTCAATTGCAGTGTATTCTCAGGGTACTGATGGCAACACAAGTAGAAGACCAAATATAACACAAAGATAATAAATGTACAAACACCCTCAAATTTTTTTTAAAAGCAATAGATCAAAGTGAAAAGATGTTCTAACGTAAAAAGCAAAACAAATGACTAACTTATACACTGTATGAAACCAACAGCTGGCTGCTGGCTGCCAGAGGCAGAGCAAATCCCCAACTTCGCTGCTGTTACAACAGCTTCAAGAGGATGAGTATATGTCCTGAGTAACTCAAACCCAGTAAATCATTTGTTTTCACATGTAAATTTTTTCAAAAGGGAATTAATAGGCAAATGATATTTTATGTTTAATACTATTATTGAAAAAACAAACTAACTTCAGTTTTAAAAGTTATTTCAGCTGTGCTAGCTCCCAGCTCACAATCACTTGCCAGGACTTGTCAAAAATTTTTGGCATTCAAGACAGGACAATTGTTGTCTGAAACTGCCTAAACCTTACATATCATCTAATATCCCTGGCTTCTGCCCATTGAAATCCCAACCTCTCTCATTTATGATAACCAAAATTATGCCCACATTACTTCCAAAAGTCCCAACTGAGAGCCACAGATTGCTATAAACCTCTTTTTACATACTATTTCAAGACTAGTACCAACTTTTTAAAGTGTTTATTTATGTTTTCTGCCACAGATGTTTATTCAACCTTTCCTGGTAGTGCTTCTTTACAGTTTCATACATACATCATCCCCAAAGTTTTCTTTTAAAATAGCCTAACATTTCTTTGATGTTTATTTGAATGAGATCCAAAAAGCTAACTTTGTGTCTATATCATAATATGATAGTATATAATTATTGGAGAAAAAAATATACTCTAAAATGCTTTAGAATCATGGTATTCTAAAATTTAAGAAATAGAAAAGAATCAGGAGATGATCTATCCTAGGGGTATCTGAGCCTCATTCAAAACAAAAGCACAAAACAATATATACATGTGCATTTTTTTTAGAAAAGAGTTCGACAGTTTATATTACGGAAAAACTCCATTATCCAAACAAACAGCATCAGTGACTTAAGAGTTCTCTTGCTTCACCAGCAAAGCAAATGCCATGCTGTAAGCTTAGCTTGTAATTCACAAGCTCAACACTGTACTACTGGACCTTACTACCACAAACATGTAAAGTGAATGCATGGGAATGACCCAGCTCATCAAAGGGACAGGAAGTTCCACAAACTCATTCACCAGCTGTGTGCAAGAGTCAAATTCCTAATGTTTATATCAGTCACTCATTCGTGAAGTGGGTTGTTTTAATGGGAAAATTCTAAGGAATAAGTATCACTTAATTTGTTCTGAAGTTTGTTTTTCTGATTATTTACTGATTTTTTTAAACAAAGTATATTAATATGTTTAAATGTTACTCTTGCATGAATAAGAAATTTGAGTCTCCAATTTTTTAAAACAAAATCTATATTTGAAAAATTCAGATTATTTGAAGAATATTTTGCTGATCAGAGGAAAAGTGTCTGTTATCTATACTACTTAAAGGACAGAAAATATCCCATGGGTCCCCAAAGAAAATCTGGGTAATAAATAGGCCAGCTTTGTAAGATCACAAATTATGATCAGGTAGTACCAGAATTAGACCCAACCATTCTGACTCCATGTTCACTTTCTTCCACTTCACCACATTGCCTCAATCTACAAACACTCTAGGAAAACAATTTAAGTGCCACCACACAGGAAAGAATTTTCAATGTCATGTTGATAAACTACTACTAATTCCAAAATATTACGTTCAACCATTTAAAAAGAAAAACCTTCCACAGGGTATGAAAAATTCTACCTTGATCCCTAATCTGCAATTTCTATGAAGTACATGACCAAAGAAAAATAGTGTGGATATTTTGAATAGCTCACATAGATCAATGACCAATCACCAATACAAGAAAAATATTATTCCAGATGTCTGACACGAGGTTAATGGATTAACATAACTACTTTTAGAAAAATAAAAAGGTGATAAGTGATTCTGGGCCTTGTTAATGACAATCAAAGCTTATGCTAACCACTGAAACAACCTACAGGCACAGGTGTTTCAAAACACAAACGCAAAACTTCTTAGAAACCTTAAGAACCAGATGCATTTTAATAATTGCAACACCCTTCCCTCACCCAGAACCAGTAAAGACCATTATTCCTCTTCTACAGCTTAGCAATCACAGAAATATGTTTGCTCCAATTACTCCATCTCTTCACACAACTAAATACTAATAAAGTTAAATTACTACCGCACATCTTTTTTCATCACATGCTCTCTTAATTAGGATGGCATTCTCAGAATAAGCATTAACATTAGAAAAACACATAAAATAATGAAACACTTTGAGTACCTAAATAAAAGCACACATATATGAATCACAGGCTAGGGACATTAAAACGTCTAGTAAGAAAATGTTTGACTTGAAAACACTGGAACTCCCACTATTAAAACCAGAAAGAAAGCATTAAGCAAGCAGAATTTATATCCCCTTACCACCTTTAAGTATCAGTCTCAGTACCTAAAAAAAGTTATTCTATTGTTGGGGGCAATTATTGATAACAACGAAAACAAACTGTCTTTAAATGACTGAACTGTACTTTATCCTTTCCTTTTCAATGCAATCATCTGTAAAAGCAACAATTATCAGTTTCAACTTCTTTTGCAAATGTATATGACTTCCAGCTCTGTCACTCAGATATGAACTGAGTACTGTGAAAAATCACACTATGACAAAACCTACATACAGTACTGAATGTAAAGGCCAGCTAAAGAATGAAAGGGAAAAGCAGGAAGAATACACTACTTTCTCCTGTGGGGCCCCAATTAGTGGGGGCGTCCCCTTCATTCATTTTTATTTAATGGCTCACTATTAGAGATAGACCCAAAAGTTGGAAAAAAACACAATCTAGCCACTGCTTGGCTGCCTCTTTTTTTTTTTTTTCTTGCACCCAGAAGTAGAGCATGCAATCCTCAGCTGCACTATACTCCTGATGCTAGTCAATTTCAGTGGCCCAACTGTCAAGCCTACCAAATCCTTCTCAAAGCATTTTCTTCTCAATTCAACAAAGCAGCAAACTCTTCATGGTATATTTTTCTGGACTGTCTACCCAATACCATCCTTTAACAACTTTTTCCAAAATTAAGCTCACAGAGGTCATTATCAACTAAGTTTTAGCACCGTTCCCTGCCTCACCTCCATCATCTTTACTGTTTTCCTTGTCCAGATCTCCACCCCACTCACTCTAAAGTCCCAGTAACTATCATCAGCTTATTTCTAGGGCCTGACAAGAACTCTCTTTGGATGTACTCACACACTTGTTCCAAAAGTATACTATTGCAACTATACTATTCAACATGCCAAAGTCCTACTCCTCAGCTCAATGTCACATCATTTGGGTGGGTTCTAAATTTACTATGATACCTAGATTATTCTGATCCATTCCCTCCCAAGCCTGTCTTTCTTCCTGGCTGCAAGTCACCAGGTCCTGGCAACTCAGTGTTTGACTGCTCGCCAACCTCTACCCCTTCAGACCCTCAGGGTCGTCCTTCCCACTGTCCTCCAGCCTTCCCATTCTGACACTCCTCCATTGTCCACTGTGCTTCGGGCCTCCCTTAAGACCTGTCCCCGAACTCGCTGTCCCTTCTGGTTCTCGGGGACCCCCCTCCAGATAAGCGGAGCCCTCCTTGTCCCGCAGGCCCCATCTGTGGTCCTGGGTTTCCACACCAGCTTCCAGGATTCCCAAGCTGCAAAAATCTAGTTTCTCTCCCCGAGGGCCACACCCTTCGTGAGGCTGCTTCCCTCAGAACACGTCACCTACACTGTTCCGGGAGACCCCAACTCACCCCCGCCTCCGCCATCTTCTGGGACCGGCCCCCGCCCCCCTTCTCCTCTTCCTCCTCCCCTCCCACAACTCCGCCCGAGTTCCACTGCGCCTGTGCAGCCTACGCGCTGGGCGCCGGCGGTCGGGGCAGAGGAGCTTCCGGTTTCCGCGGGCACTAGCTGGCGGACTAGGGACCCGGGGCAAAAGGTCTTCCGGTCTCCTGGAAATTGGGGGCTGGCGGGAGGCGTGAACTTTAGGGATGGAAGGCTGGGCGCTCTGCTTTAGTTTGCTGACCAGGCGGTGGTGGATGGTGACGGGTGCCCAGACCCTGTGGGCGGAGTAGGAGAGTCATGCACTGACACACGCACACTCGTGACGCGCAGCCCTCTGCGTCTCTTAACTGGAGCCAAAGGTTTTCCCCGCCTTAGAGAGCGGGCGACCAGGTTCTTCCGGCTAACGACCCCGGCTCTCCATGTCCTTGTGCGTTTGCCCAGCTTTACTCTTTGCGCTTTTTTCTTCCCTATCAAGTCATAACTTACTTTGGAACAGTAGCATAGTGACTGTTTTTCTGTCATCACCATTCCACAGCACTTGTCATTCCTAATCGTTCCTCATGGACGAACAGGTAACGCGGTTTGGGGGAGGTTGTTTTCATAGGAAAGGCTTCAGAGGTTTACTCCCAAGTAGAGAGAACACAAACCTTATAAACCTCTTACTTGTCAAAAGGATTATTTCCGTTGATTTTTAAATCATACTTTTGGAACACGAAGAAACCCACACAGATCTTGGATACTGTGCAGATAAACTTTTATTTTGAATGGAAGTGATTCATTGCAGAAGCAAGCCATATATAAAGCCAGAAGGTGTTGTGCCCAGATTTCGAGGTCCCCAAAGACCACCAAGGAGCCGATTCCGATGTAAACCCACGAGGGTCGTTTATTCAAGCTCGAGCAGGGACTCCCAACCATCACCGCCGCAGCGGGTCAAGATTGAGAGCCTTCCCACTTCCTTCCAAGGGAATGGGATTAATATGAGAAAATGGAAAAATAGGAACAAAATTTTTGTAAATAGGGAGGGCTGGAGGGGTTGAAGGGAGGGCTGGGCAAGGGTGAAAAACAAGAAC